AAAAGGTCATATACATATTTTCAAGAAATAAGTACAGAATCCCTGCAAGGGGTATCAGCTTACTACCATGGCAATGATGGAAAACTGTTGTAGGGCAGGGGCAGTATGCATCAAAGGATCTCTTGAACCACTCGTGCGTCGGGGCGTACTTGACGCTGGAGAATGCCCGGAAGGTTGCATTCCACTGCCTCTTGCTCTTTCTGGTGCTTAAGCAGGAATGGACATAAACGCTATCACAATTGATCTCGCGGGGATTCTACAGTGAGAAAAAAAGAGTCCTGTTTCTGATTATCTGCATGTCCAAGCTTAGGCGCCAAAAAAGGTTTGTTGGCTCGCAGTTACTTGGCCGACTTTAATGAGGAAGACAATCACTCTAAGCTAAAGGAAGAATTTGGAAGAATAGCTTGTGAAAGCCTATATGCCCAACATATTTGCACCCCCCTTCTGGAGCCTGCTGATACCCCTGAGTCCCCGGCAAACATAATTAGGGCACTTCAGGTGCACCGCTGTGGTTGCCGACTTTTGGAGTGTGGAGGGAAGTTTTCAGGGAGGGGATAGATGGGTAGACCTCCAAGAAGAAGAGAGAGAAGGTACTTTCATCCTAGCCGGGAGTTGTCCGAACCCCTTTTACACGTTAAACCCTAAACAGATGAGTAGGCAACTGCCCCCCCCTAACCATCCTGTCTCTAGGGTTTAGGCTTCCATCAGGAAGGTAGAACCTACAAACCCAAGAGCCCTACATCTTCGACACTCAGTGCTTGAACTCTGCACTAGAAAAACCAAACCTTGATCTTACTGGGCGTTAGTGGGGAATACGGGAACATATCCTATTGGGATTATTGGAATTATGTTCCTAAACCCTAAACCCTTAAACGCTGAACCCACATATAGGGATTATGTTCCCTTATTCCCCACTGACACCAGTAAGTTGAAGGTAGCAGGATTTGTGAGATGCTGTTCCCAGCTATGTTAGCTCTAACGAGGATCAGGACAAAGCACAGTACTATTAATCCATGAATATCCAAAGCCTCAGACTGTAAACCCGCGCTGGTCTTCATGGGCCTCGTGAGTGGCGCCGTGCGGCCAGCCTTGGTTTCGATGAATTATAGTCCCAAAGTAGGTAGAAAAGGAAAAGCCTAAACCCTGTTCAGGGTTTAAGAGCTTAGGGTTCCAGTTGGACATATCGCCCCCCTTCAGTAGATATAATATGGGGTATATGGAGATCTTGGTATCGTCTTGGGGAAGTCCATATTCTATCTACACAATGGAGACTAGAATCAATCTGGTTGTTGGTCTTTTTATCCGCTTTGTCATTTGGGGGTTTCCGGAAATGGGCCTTATGGGGGTGGAGGGGTTACTTATAAGGAATCCAGCATACCCTTATATGGTCTGGATTGGGCACCCTGATTCTGGAACCCTTAAAGAGACCACCGATCTCTCGAATCATGGCTGGTAACGAACCTTGACACTAAACGCTAAACCCTGGGAGTGTCAAGATACCTGATTCTGGCTGGGGAGTCCATGGGGAAGTGGCGCCACGTTTGCTCTACAAATGGATGTGGTCCTACTGGCCACCGAACTTCAGCAAGAGGTCCAACCTTGGCAGCCCCCACTTTAAGCACAACTGGTTACAAGGAGCAAGGCATGTCTTTCAAATGTTGTGCCGGGCTCCAAACGCAAAGTTTAGGGCTCCGGGGCTTCAAAGTCTCGACAGCTGGCATATGCTGCGTGAGAGAAGATTTGGCACGTGAGAGGTGTCTCTGACGTTGTACGATTGTAGCATTTTTGCCTGCAGGCACTTGTGCGGGACGCAGAATGATAGTCACAAACAGTGGTTTGACCACCTTGGTCGCCGTCTATGAAATTTCGCGTCACAAGTTACAGCAAATGCCTGTGAGAACACGCCTACGAACTGCAAAGGATATTGAAACAAGCCACTAGGTCAGTGCCATCTGCCGCCAACGAAGCGAAACCCTACGTTCTCAACCCTTGCGCATGATAATACATCACAAAGTGTGCCAAAGAATGGTGCTTTTTCAGGGGCCCTAGCCCCATGGATCTTTGGCGCGGCTTACGATAGCAAAAACTATGATGTCATCTTTGAAGCGTCCTTCTTCTATTGTTCTATAGTCCCCCTTAAGTAGATAAAATATGGAGTATATGGGGATCCTATCATAACATACCGAAAGCCACGTTCTATCTACTTAAGGGGGACTATACGTCATGCCGTCATACCGGAAAATGCTGAGGTCTTCCATTCCAGCGGCCCGCAGTGCCGTGCGAGCGAACAAGGCCATGTTGTAGCAGCACCGCCTCTGGGGTCAAAGTAGTGCCCCATTCCCAGACCCCCTAAAGGATCCCCAAAAAGGACCCCCCCTATGAACCCATTACTACATTGGAAAAGCAGGGGGATCATTCTCTCTCTCTCTCTCTCTCTCTCGGCGCTCTCGAGTCCGGGCATCAACTAGGGATCATTAGGGGGTTCCGTTTTTTGGATCCTTTAGGGGTCTTGGTTTTTGTACCCTCTCATGCTAGGAGCTAAACTATATCGATATAGGCTTCCCAGGATTTTGAGAATATCCTGTACTCTGAGCCGTTGAAAACTCAAGAATTGGGCATTCAAGATTTAGGAGTTTGCAATATCAAGGTAGGTCCCGTGACGGACACTGGCGGCAGTTGATAGCTGCACTCTCCAGAACACATGACAAATATGGGTCTTGTCTTGCTCAAGGGCAGGTCAAGGGAAGTGGCCCCTTTGAAGGGTCATTTGAACTTACCATTCTCCATAGCACTTTGTTGAAATTAAGGCCTCAACTCTCCAAGAGAAATGAAATGTGTGCTGCGAGCCCATTGGCTTCAACGAGCACTGTAGTGCAGGATTTATGGTAGAATCCCCAAAGCATTTCATGTCTAGCTCTCTCGATAAAAAAACCCTCAAAAGTCGTGAGGTGCTAAAGTTCAAGAAAAGTCTCAATGAGTTAAGAAGAACTCCGGTGGGCCACCCTTGGATTGACAAAACGTAGAAACCGTCACATGGGAGTTTCCCAAGATTGGACGCCTTTTTGGGGGGGTTCATGTGGAGGCCCTCAATGTATGAGGTCTAGGTAATATAGACTGAAGAGAGCAAGTTGCGTATCAATCATGTTTCCCCTAGAGGAGGGTTCCTCATAGTTGTTGGAACAAGGTCAGAGACCCCAGGCACTGGATGTCAAACCCCATTGAAGCACTTAGATCCTCATCTCCCAGGATCCCCCTTTATAGCCTGTGTAGTAGTCCCCTATATAACCCGCTTTAAGGAGCTTTCATTATGGCTTATCTGAAGGATCTCAACCCTAGACGCTAAACCCTAAACCCATGCCTACCCACCCGCGCCCTCATCCCGGAAGGGGTTGAATTGGGCACCTTCACATACGGCAGGGTTTAGATTTTTGTTAAGCGCTCAGGGTTTAGGGTTCAGGGTTTAGGGCCTAGATCTTTTTGAATACTAGTACCCCAAACCCTAATCCCTCAACCCTGTATAACCCCGTGTAGCCCTCTATAACCCCTATATCCCCTTTGGAGGTAGCGTTGTTGTGGCTGCAGGGGGTTCCTTTTTCAAAAATGACTGGGCCATGCCTGCTTAAGGACGAGCTCAAAATTTGTTTCTCTACTACACGTCCTGCTTGAGCCAAAATGGGAATGCGACAAAAGGATAGGACTCCCCAGATAAAAGGGGCTCAAAACTGGTCCTACTCACTTATCACCCGTCAAGGCTCACTTGCATAAGTGGCATGATTCCATATCAGGTTCACAATTCCTGGCATCCTCTTCCGGGCCGTTGATAGCGCACCCTTGCAACTCCAGAATGACTTGCAAGCCTCACGCGAAGACCCTCTCGGCCATTCTTCATGGGATCCCGTTCAATCCTAGCTTTGATTGACATCTGTGGGGCTGCACCATCCCCACAAATGCTTGACATGGGGAATATCTAGGCGGTAGGTAGTGAGCCCTAGTCCAAGCCTCGAAGGCTTCTAATGAGGAGTCCTTCCCCTTTGATCTTGCTCCATGCAGAATGTTGCGCTGGCTTGGGTGAAAAGACCTTGCTTCGATGTGTATTGGCCGCTGCTCATTCAATTTCGGGCCATGGTTGGGAAGACCATGTTTATGTGTTTTGGTTTTGGGGCGCCCTCAGTACCGTGGGAGCCTTTTTGAGGACGTCTAATTCTTGTTTCTGGAGCCCCCACTGTTAGGCGGGGACTATACACCAAACCCAGTGCAACATTAATGCACATACCCTTAGCACGCGTACATTTCATCAAACACTAGTCTCATCCTAGGCAACTCAGTATGCGTGGTAACTGCCTCAATTTCAGAAATCAGATTCATCATGTAGAGCGAGCAAGTTTCCCCAGCGCTTGTGATGACGATGCATTGCTCGGCGAGTGTTCTGGAACACTGGCACTTCGCAATGGTTAAAAGGAAGTTTCTCAAAATTTACGGGCCCTTTGCGTGGTATTTAGGTGACCGATTGTGTTAAGAAACTCGAAGAGCATAGACCACGCAGGGAAGAATGGCTCAGCAACTTTTCTGCAACATGTGCCGGCCTGACAACAGCAGAATGAGCCAACATGTGTCAAATATGGAAGAATTACGGTACTGAAAACTAAAACGAACCAACATGAGTCAAACACATGACGCTGAACTGCTGACTGATTGGCTCAGGCCAATCCTTTGCCCACTTTGAGGCTCAGAAATGCAGTGGTTAGCTATCTGCTCCATCACATCCATCCCTGGGATGGGTGCTACCAGTTCATGGCCACCATCTGACAGGTGCGCGATCAACAGTGTTAACCAAAAAGAGGGTGAAGGAAATTGACCAGCATTACTACAAGTACGAGCCAAGGGCACCCGTAGAGAGGAAGCTCAAGAATAGCTACAGGAACATGACTTCAACTGAGTTTGATGTGTGCCGGTGCTGGCAGGAGCAGCTCCACCCCAAGGTGCTGGCAGGCTGGGTGCGATCAAGCGCTCACGCCGAACTTTTCTCGGTACTCCTTTGAAGCTTTTGCTAGTGCTGCAAGTACCAGCTACTCATGACATCATTCCGCATCCGTTTAGCAGCATCGGGGCAAACTCTGATTGTTTCAGAGAAGAGAGGTCCAACAAGATAATATCAAGCTGTGGCAGTGTTTTGGCAGAAAGCGGTTCTGGCAGCCATGCCTCTTCTAATCCTGCATGCCGTCAACTTCAGAACACCAAGCATGGGCCTGCTTAAGATATACCTCTTCCACACCGTCCTGGGAAATTCTGGAGACATGCTTGCTTTGATCGTTGAAAACTTAAAACTTAAACCCTGAACCCTAGAATCCTTGATGTTCTGCAGGAGTGACTCTCGATCATCTTGCTTGTACCTGGGCGATGCTATCCATGTCAGCCCTTCTCCGTCCTATTTCGGAGAAAACAGACCGGGAGTCATCAAAACTGCAGTCTCTTTTAGGGTCACTAATGACGGCCCCTACATAGCTCAGGAGTCAGGAATTTTCCTTACACACAGATTACAAGAAGGAAGGCCTGTGGCCGCTTGCGAATGTTTACGGGCTCGGTAGCTTTCTTAGAACAAGGCTTGAAGCTGCAAAAGCCCAAACTTACATGGGCCCCGAAACAGAGCAGGGTAGCCCCAGTTAAATCCATGAGGCCAATGAAACTTCATTGGCCCTGCCTGATACTATACCCTGCAAACTGCACCTATAAGGTTGTGTAGCACTGGGTATACAACTACGCCCCGCATTTCAGTGAAAATATTACAGACACTGCCTGCGATGCAGAAGATGCAAGCACCACCTCTGCTTGGCAATGCCTTCCAACCAACGTAGCTTCGGAAAGAGCTGTTGGAGTCTACACCTGCCAATGCAGCTTGCGAAAGATTCTGTAGGTCTCAGAATGAAGTCCTCGATGTACGCTGCCAGCCGGACCAGGACCAGGACTTTGAGACAAACCCCTCTAGTAACAATTGCAATAATCATAGTAACAACAGAAGTAATAATGATAGCAACAGTAGTAGTAATACGCATGGAAGGCCGTCAGACTTGCTGTCACTTTCTGGATACTTTATCAAATGCGGCTGCCAATGTTTAGGTTAACCAAAGCGGGCAACGTTTTCGACAGCCCCTCACATCAGGTCCCGGTGACTGTTTGTCGATGAACGTGATCAGGTCCTCCATCTTCGCGATGCTCAAAACCTCTCGGCACCAACTCTAAAGGCAAGCCAGCCTAAATGAGCGCACCCGAATCCACTGGGCTTGGCTCTACTCTGCCTCCAGTGGTTTTTGAAGCAGGTAGGCAGCAAGACCACTGAAGGAGTAAGTGCCAAACTTTGCAGTACCACTCCCAGTAGTGCCAGCAGCAGCATCAGCAGCGCCACCGCCGCCGCCGCGGCCACAGCCACCGCCACCGCCACCCACTGCCACTTTTACAACGACGACCGCGGTTTGCGCAGTCAATGCTGACCGCAACGTTGGCCAGCATAACGCAACCCACATACACTATTCTTATTAATATTACTGCTATTTGTATTGTTCTTTATTCGTATGATTAGTATGATTATTGCTACTTGCCAATATTTTTGGTGTCTATTATGCTTCTTATTACCATTTGTATTCCTGACATGTAATCACCATTTCTTCAGCAACCTTTTGGGGCTTGGAACCCGGCCGGGATGCCGAAGTCTCTCTCCACCTCTGGCGTCTGTTGCTTTGGAACCCAGATCGCTGGGAGGATCTAAAATTAGATCCCTTTTTATATCCGTAATAACCACTGTATAATTTCTGACAAAAATTCCCTGATGATTCTAGGGGATCTAATTTTCAGATCCCTTTGGGGGTCTGGGAAGTGCTACCAACTTTGCACTCCTTGGCCGGCCTCGGGCTGTACCTACAGGAAAGCTTCTGTGTTCTTAGGATACACGATGCCACTGCTTGCGGTCTGTTAGGACCCTTAACGCTGAAAACTACACAGAGCTGGAGCAAGGATGGGAGTTCAGCTTCTTGGTCCCTGAGCCCCTTGATGCCAGAAAAGGGCTATACACTGTAATCTTTTTCTTTCAGGATGTTTGCGCTTTACGTCGGTCGTATGTACTGAAGGCGTCAAATTTGAGGCTCGGGGCACACCCTCCTGGAGCAGCACTTGTTGGGCTGTGTCGTCACATGCTGGTTGAGCCTGAGTTGTGGCCGGAATGCTCGACAAAGAGGATAGAAGAGTATAGCAGCCCAGAAGATACGCGAAAGGGCAAAGCGCACGGTACCCAACCTGCTACAAGCACTTGGAGAGCCTGAGAGTCCGTAGCCATTCTTGACCTCATGTGCTGCGATGATCACAACGATGTAAGATGTAAGAAGATGGAGCACTGCAGCAATACAAACATCCACACCGAAAGCACGACTCTGCCACACCTGAGGTTATAAATCCTAAGTAACTTTCGGGCATTTTCGGGCCATACCACCCAATTTACGAACAGAACAGGTGCCACGAAGCTACTCCATGTCGGAACGAACCCCGTGCACAGGCTGAACTGGCCCTGGCAGCATGAAACGTCAGCTTTTGTTGGAGCGATGTGCCTGCCTCTTGCCGATGTGGCTGCTGAACTGCACCAGAATCTCTCAAATGCCCCTCTATGTTGACTGGCCATAACCCGATTCCCAAGAGCCATTTTCTTGCGAACCCCTCCCAAATCCAAACCTGCCTAAGCCCTATTCCCAAACCCTCAATGTTCAACCCAAACCCCAAACCCCAAGACTCCAAACCCTAAACCCCAATCACGAAACCCTAATCCTTAAACCCTAATCCCTAAACCCTAAATCATAAACCCTGCCTAAATCATAAACCTATGCTCGTCACAGGGTGTAGCGGAGCCTGCTGGATGGCTGAGACATTCTCTTCCTCCTTGACCTTCTCTTGCCGGTCCATCCTGATACCATGTCGGGTTATGCGGTGGCATGTGTTGCGTAGTTTGCGGTACAGGCCAACCAAGTGGCATATTGCGGAATTAAGATGACTCATGCCACTTTGCAACACCTGGAGGCTGAAGTTCCACCTTTCTAGGCCATGTGATCAGGGTTCAAGGCCCAAGGAGTCTGCGCCGCATTTGAAAGGTTCGAAGCCGGGCGGTGATCCAACAGTTTACGGTGAGGCAAGCCATGACATGAACCTTCAATCCGAAACTATCTACCCAACACAAGGTAATGTAGGGGCCTAGAATGCGGCTTGAGCGGGTACATTCTACTAACTACTGTAACCCTTTCGTGAGATAATATTTCCTGGCAACCAAACTGTAAAGATGCTTCTACCAGTTTAGGGTTTAGGGTCTCAAACAAACCTGAACACTGAGCCTTGGGCATCAACCTAACTCCCTAGTGGTAGTATAAGGGTTTTATAGGGATAATGGAAAAGAAAATGGAAGCTCTTCTAATGGGGCCCCATGATACTAGTTTCTATTTCTGTTCCATTATCCCTATAAACCCCTATGTTACTTCAGTAGTTTCCATTTTATTTTCAATTATCCCAAAATAAAGTTTCAGTCAACCCTTAGCCCGCTGCCTTGCAGGCCCAAAAAAACTACTTCGTCCTTGTAAGCGCCCCGTGATGCCCCGGCGTAGCCATCAGAACCTAGAATCCTAGAATGCTAGGAAAACCCTACAATTTGATACTCAAAACCCTACATGCCCTAGCATACCAGAATACGAAAGCTCCTGACCTCATGCAGGATCTTTAGTGTATCAGCAGTAGTATGTTTCCTGTAAGAATACTTCCGTTGTCCATTGTCTTTTCCATTTAATTCTCCACGAGATAACTTCTACCCCAAATACTAAACCCAAAAACCTGTTTACCCCTCTAGTATAATCCCTTTCTTACAAGACCTCTTATTAGCAAAGCTATCATAGATTTTAGGCCAGCGTCGCCACCACGACCCCGACCACCTGCAGCTCCCGCTGTGCTGCCAGGAGGTCCATCGACCTGCTTCTCCCCAGGGCTAGGGTTTAGGGTTTATTGCTTAGGGTGCTGAATCCCCCTAACCCAAAGGGTCAACATAGGGGCATATGGGGGATTGGAATCTTGTTGAGGCACGTGAATCACACAAGCAGGCGCGGTTCATTCCGGAGTCCCAGCACAAAAGCTGTTTAGGGTGTAGCTTTAAGGGCTTAGAATACACCCCCCCTGCCCCACAACCATATATGCTCCCAACACAGAGAAGTATCCGTATACAATGGGGGAATGTCTGCTATTAGGGTGGTGGAGGTTATTATCAGGGGAGGTGATTAGTAGGAAATGAAGGAACGGCCTACAGCTATAACTTAAGGACTATTGTCGGGGATAAGATAAGGATTACTATGCTGACTGACCCATTCCTGTATTCCCTACCACGCACCAGGTATTCTGGCATGTTGCTCCATGGCTTGGATGCTAAAGCATATGCGGAGGAGAATTGCATGTGTACACCTCTCTGTGAGCACGGAGCCCTAGCGTGAGCCGAAGTTTGTCGAACCCACAAAAGTTTAGCCGAAGGCAGTCGAATCCCAGAGGGTTCACCGAATCCCCACACATGGTTGTGCGCACGGGTTCTACTTACCTCTGAAGGGTGCTACAAACCTCGTGAAGGTTCCGCGCACCCCCACGAATCCCGCGAACGCCCCGGCAATGTTCTGCGAACGCTGGTGGTACGTAGGGCTCTGAGGTGAACCCCGAGAGATGTGTACACATATGTTTTGCCCTGGACATGAGATTTGCGTCTAGGCCACCGCGCCTGTTGATTAAAGGTCTTTCGGGAATTTTCCTTGGTAATCTTGGGGCTCGACGCCTAGCATGCTTATGGCATAGGGTACCAAATATACCTCAAAATAATGTTGGTAATCATTTAGGACCCTAAACTACATAATCCCCCTACATCCCTTTGTAAACCCAGTTTCCATGGCATTTTCCATGTTCTCTTCCAATTGATTCTGCAACATCGGGGCTTTTATCCCAAACCCAACTTAGTAGTGGCACCCTACGCACTAGACTTGAGTTACTCAGGGCCGGTCTCGCGTATCGCAGTCCCCGCTGTGATGACGTCATCCACGATTAGCCTTGAAGGAAGAGGCAAGGAAATTCGGGGGAAAGAGACATTCAATGTAAACCAGGGTTTTTCCAAACCGGGGGGGGTTAGAGTAGAAGCTGTAGCGTCTATGGGGAAACGGGATGTAAAGGCTTTAGAATCTAGGGCTTTTCAAAATTGAGTTTGCTTGGGATATCTGGGCATTGGAGGGGTCCCCTTGAAGAAAACCTATAAGGATCAACTTGATGTTGAAACTGTGGGTTCCAAGTTCTTTTCTAGGCCCCTTGGATTAAAGTCTTCTTTTGAAAGATCCCACTCCTTTGAGAACTATAGCCCAGAGCAAAGGGAGTTGAGGGTCCAGTAAAATGTGGCATGGTCGGCCTTAGGGGTTTAGGGGTTCAGGGGCCTAATTATGGCGTAGGGCTACGACCGTAGATCTTTAAACAGGGCCGAGGTTGCAAAATGTGGAGTTGGGACATACGAAATGGGTGGGTACAAATGGGACCCTGACATTGGAAGTCTTCAACATTTCATTATGGAATTATATCCCGAAAAGCCTACAAGATGCAAAAGGAAGCTGGAACTGGAACCACTCAGCGGGACATGGTAATCCTCAATAGATCCGGAATCCGACAAGGGACCATCATATACAGCTACTACGAACGGTGGGACCGTTAGCTCAGACAAGGAACACACGGCCAGTGAGCTTTCCGACAATCAGCCCACCCTCGCCGTGATCCTGGCACACAAGCTTGGATTCTTTTTCCTGCTGACTTATCCAAAAACGCTAAACCCCTATCCCCGAAATCCTTAAACCCTTAAACCCAACCTTCGAACCCCAATTATGGCGTAGAGTACTTGAGGCATGCTCCGTGATACTGCTTTCCCATCTTAAGTCTTAAGTCTTAAAACTACGATCTCCCTGCTGAAATTGGTCGTGGGAGTAAGCAAGACTATCGCCCCCAATTACTTTTTTCTCGGGCCCCTTACTTTCACGATATGAACAAAAACACCTCTAGCTTGTGCAAAAGGGGTGGCACTTGGATGCAATTGGTACAAAGGCCACTCCAAATGGGGAGCGCGAATCTATGTGCTGGTCTACATGGGCCACCTACCAGACCTTCTAAACGGGCTATCGCATTGGGATGCTTGGGACCTCGTTGAAACGCCCACACAGTTTGAAGACATGAAGACTTCCCAGACGGCAAGCTTCAAAAACAAGCTAACTCTCCGACAAAATCACTTGAGCTATAGTCTAGGCTCCTTAAAGGGGGCAATATAGGGGATTATATAGAAATGCATGCCCATGCCTGTAGAAGCCCGAAGCCCTAGAACACGCAAGCGTCCAATGGCTGTTGGGGGCTGATCCTCTCCCCATACTCCCCATGGTGGCTTATAGAATTATATATAATATGTTGGGGGTATCTAATATTAGGGGGTGTGGGGGATTTAGTATCAGCCCTAAACCCCAAGCCCCAATAACAACCCCTTTCTACCCCCTTAAGGTTGGGGGGGCGACTAGTATCAGGAGGAGAGGAGAGCTCTCCCTAAACCCTAAACCCCATAAACCCTAAACCCTAAACCCTATAAACCCTCTCTTCTTCCCAACAAAACTCCAAAGTCAGCCTTTCGTCGCATGGACTCCCGAAGATCCCTCGCTGCAGTTGCTTCGCAACTGGTTTAGGGTTTAGGGTTTGGTAGTTGTTCAAAAGACCTGTCCCCAAAAAAGGCCAGAATGTAGGTTCCCTGTTTGGTGGATCCCCTTTTAAGGAAGCATATTCCGCCCAAACCCTCAACTCTCAACTCTCAACCCTCAACCCCTAAACCCTAAACCCTTTTTCACAAGGACCTGTAGAACGACCCGCAAAACTGTCCTTGGCTTCCTTGCGATTGTAGGCATAAGGCACGCTCCGCCCTTGTAGCTGGGAGCTTTGCACCGACTTCGGGGTGGTTTAGAGTTCAGGGTTTAGGGTTCAGGGTTTAGGGTTCAGGGTTTAGGGTTCAGGGTTTAGGGTTCAGGGTTTAGGGCTTAGGGTTTAGGTGTATGGCTTCCATGAATGAGGAAATATCCGGGTCCCAGTACACGGTTGGCAGGTCTTGATTAGCTATGAGGAAGAGCTCTCAACAAACAGAGTAACTCAGGAGTTTAGCCAATGCTCACTTTGAGGTCTGCTTGAGTTACCCTCTTCTATAGGTATACAAGGAATCTGGAAGCAAAATGTTGGCAATTTCTTAGGCTTCCAGTTGCCATGTTGTTTTCCATGTTCTTGTGTCTTGACTCTCCCGTATCAACCCTGGCCAAATACCTCAAAGAATGAAGCCGGGCCAGCCAAGCAACCGTGGTTTTTGTACAAAGCGATGGCGATCCTTAGCGTCTGGATGCATCTGACATGAAAAAGAACCTACATGGCCAGGTTGCTATAGTAATCCACTCCTCCAGTACTAAACTTCCACCACTACAACACTACATACCCCCAAGATAGCATTTTCTGGATAGATGAGGGACATGTCCATTACTCGGAAATGGGGTTCTTGGGGGAAGGTACTAATGTTTTTTCACTTCCTGTATGAGGCTAGGGGAGGGGGGGGAAATATGACGTTGCTAACGTTCCAATCTCAAGTGAGCCATAGTCTAAACTCCCAGTATCCCCCTTAGTAACCCCTATAGTAGTTCCCTATATAATCCCCTATATAACCCCCCTTTAAGGAGTTTAGACTATGGCTCAAGTGAAGGTGTGCAAGTGCGACAGAGCTTCGCGGCGGCCAAGGTGATGCCCTTATACGCAGGGCCGAAGATACAATCAAACCTCAAGAGCTCGGGGTATCGGTACCATGTTTTGGGGGTCCCTATAATAAGGACTATAATATTTTGGGGTTTATATTGGGTCCCCTTGTTTTGAGAGTTTCAGCCTTTGAGCTAAAATCCAACCCCCTTAACCTTGATCCGCCTGCATCCTCAGAACATGGCTTTCTGACATTTAATTTGATGGCTCTGGTAGGGAATGCTGGGGTGTCGTTCCTGGACTGCATCAAGCTTGGGACAGACACCTAGCGCTGGCACCCGTGTCCTGACGCGCAGGCCCGCTCACCAAAGGCAGGTCGGGAGGTTCCAAAACATGAAAAGAAACTGCAAATTTGATCCATGTCTTCTCACAGACAAAGTACCCGGGTGACACTGAACATTGCTTCGGCAGGGGACCTTACTGTATAATATGAGTGTAGATACCAAACTCCACGCTACAGGACAACTGCAGGGTATCAGGGGGGCCAGACCCACTAGAAGCTTTTCGAGATCGGAATGTATGAGCGACAAACAGGGATTCTGAGATCTGTTCAGGATTAGTGACGTTTAACTATCGGGGTCTACTGCTGACCGTCTTGGACGGTGTTTGGAGCTTGAGAAGATGAGATTTAGGTGTTTTCCACTTCCCCGTTGGCCTATCCAACATCACAGGGTGAACAAATTCCGGTCCTCATGAATTTCTTCAGCTACGAAAAGCACAGCCTATTACGTGCTTCTTGTCGGTGACTGAGCCACCAGCGAAAGAAAGCACAAACGCCTACGTTGTCAAAAGTAACCACGGTTCATCGGCCACCCAAGGCCCAGAAGGCAGGTATGCTGGCGTGCACCTCTCTACACAAAGCTTCAAAGTGTACTCACTAGCGCCTTAATACCCCTATAGTAGTCTCCTATATCTTCCCCTTTAACGAGTTTAGAGTATAGCTCAGATGGCCAGATTACAGCTCACAACCTGAGACGCCAGCTCGACGCGAGATGCAATGATTGCGTCAGCGTAAAACTCCCCAAGCCTCAGCAGTGACGCAAAGCGAAGCTGCAGACTGACCCAGACCCCTGATTAATAATTCCCTCCCCTTAACAGGGATTATAATGGGAATCCTAAGACTAAGGCCCTTAGAAGGAGGGGTGGTCTACACCAATCCATCTCTTGAATGGAACCTTATCCGAGTGGAATTTCTAACGAGTATATGTCCAGAAGTTGGTTTAGCGTGTTCCTCAAGTTTGGGCAGGATGTTCTGGGTTGGCCCCTAAAACCCTTTGAAAAATATTTGCATATAGGGTCACCTATTAAAGCCATTAGGGAAAATAGCAAATATCACAGAGGGCCTACCCAGAGTAAGCCGGTCATGTTTGAGAAGCATATACGAGTATGTGTCTTCTGGGACACAAAAACTTGTCCTTGGCGACAACGGTTTTCGGCCACAAGCAAAACATGTTGCGACCCTGTGCCTGTACCGACAGGGTCTTTCTAGCATGCTCCAAGTACTGTTAATTACAATTATAAGCCGTATATAAACCTAGTTTGCATCAATTTTACGTTTTCCATTTGATTCTCCCTTATTCACCTTGTTAAATCTATATACGTACTCTGATTGCTAGCAGCATGCTTCGCCAAGGCTTCCCCAGTTGTGAACAGGCCGGCGTTGAAGAAGTAAGGCGATGTCCTCCGGTGAGGGGTTGCTTAAGGTTTATCATGGGGGGCTCTTTATAAGGAGGATTCCCTAAATTACTATTCCCAAAATGGGGGAAAATTATATAGGGACCCGTATTTTAATAGGAACCCAAATATAGGACCCNNACAGTAATTTAAGACAATCCCCATACTGAGTATTCTCGTTTTGGGGGTTAACCGTCGTTCGAGCAACATTGCGCTTACATCACAGGAAAATGCGCTCAGCAGTCCGAATCCTGCAGCAGTGCTACCACCATTACATTAAAGGGACTCTACTGGGA